CGTCAAACATCTAAGAATCAAATTACGGACCGCAAATGTGTGGTGCAAACAAATTCACGGATAAAGTGGAGATGGTTCTACAGCGGAATGAGTGAATTCAATTGTTTGGTTGTCGTACTTTTCAGCGCTATGTTTTCAAGCTTTCTACTCGATTCGTTCGAACTTCAGGAAATGATTTGTGTCACAAAACATGGAGCCACCTTCTCTTCGCTCAACATCTCGAGGCGTTATGATGTGTAAACATATCAGGTCTGCGGTTATAGGTCTCGCGCATGCGTTATGCAGGGACACATGGCAGGCTCGACGTTGTGTGGTTATCGTTCTTGTTTTGAGGAATTCTGGTTGTACCACTGTTTACAATAAAAGTAAGTTGACAGTAACTGAGGCCCACACAATCACATTACAATGATGAACATGCTCGCTATACGGTATTCTTTTCCTTATGCTGGAAACTGAAGAATTAATCTCTAAAATTGGTAGTCTTCATATTTTTCAAGAAGCGTCCGAGCTGTGATCGTGCAATTAAACGGGGTTCTGGCAATTTGACCTCACAAGCGCGCTGGTAAGCACTTGGTTCGCGTAAATAATTGTTGTTTACAGTTATCGAATTCCTGGATATTTTCTGTTAAATTCATTGAGGTTTAGTCTCGGAATTTCATAAGCGATTATGAATGATAGATTCGTATCGGCACCATAATTTAGGGAAATTTTGTCAACTTATTAACAGTTTACAATTCGCGAACCATTTCTGTAACCTACTTGGATATTCTCTCTTGGAGTAATTGAGTCACACCCTCGGAATTTCATTAGTAATTAAGAACGACAAATCCATATATATAGGACAAGTGAAGCACATTTTAAACTTTCATACGATTGTGGGGAAACTACTTAATTAACTCTCGATAAATTGGCCTGACATAACTCGATGATTATTTTATTATTTTGTAGCCCCAAAAGCCCGGCTTGTGACTTTGGAGGTACTGAACTTGATATATTTGATACACAAGGCACCCTTCAAGTAGGAAGGTTAGAATAAAATTGCTTTTATGACCATATATTGCACTCGGTTAACATATGTAGATAATTACTTAAAAAATACTTATTATAGCTGTATTCAGAAGTATAGACAATATGCTTTTGCTTTATTTTATTGTAAGGGGTTTCTTTTTATGTATCATGTATCCACCCTTTAATTTCCTCCTTAACCTGCCTGCAAATAATTGAATTTTATGTTTGAATTCAAGATAAAACAGAAGTCTTGCAGATTTCTCATTCCAGATGGAATTCAGGTGAGAACATCAGTAAACAAGTTAAAATCATATGCTTCTCCTGAATCTTTAATTTTATTGCCCTGGTTTTTTTCAGAAACATTATTTCATATCTCTGTGTGACAGCTAATGATTAAAACCTCAGTGAATAGATATGCTATATTTTAGTAGTTTTTTAAATTCCATCTTTTTGTTTTTGGCATTTACTATTTTAAAATTCATAAATGGCATTCCCTTTTCATCCTTGTAAAGAGATATTGCACATTTCTTTAACTAAAATATGAATTATGAAGTCAACTTAATTTCAATGAGTTTGAAACTTCATTCTACATAAGAACACTTTACTGGCGTATACTGTTATATTTATTTGCTGTCTTTCTGTAACACATAATTACCATATGTGTCTCAACCCTTTAACTCCCAAAATTTCATGAGTAATCCTCCTTACTGTCTGCCATACAATTTATGTGATGTTAAATTTGAGAATTTGGAATTGGATCAACCAATAATCCTCAAATTGATATTTGTCTTAATTCTTGTTACTTGCCTGCTCTATGTCATACGAATAGTGTAAGGAGAAATTCTGTCTAGGTTAACAGTGGGACTTAACCCTTTAACTCCTGTTATGATAAATGCGTCACTTGTCACGTTACCTGTTTCCTTATTTGGACATAAAATAAAGTTGTTGCTTTTAACTGAGTGTGTAGTTTACATGTCATAACATGGTGTCAGAAACGGGATGGATTTTCTGAGCATTCTGCACTTTTTTTTAAATTAATCGCCGAAGGTACCTTGCTGATACTGTTCGCTTATATTATTCGCAATTTCAAAGAGAATTTTGAGCTCAAAGTGTAGAAAAAAGAACTCAAGATGCCGTCAGATAACGACCACGTGGAGTCGGGCGCGCAAATCGACGTGCCATCAATGGTAGCACCTAACACAGTTCAATCCACCGCCCCAATTTATCCTCAAGTTATTTCTCCAAATTTTCCACTGCCAAGTCCTATGAAGTGTCACGGTGACGTTACTGGTAACTGGGATTTTTTC